GTTAAGTGATCCTTTTCAATCTCTGGACAGAAGAGCAAGTTTTCATGAAGTCATAAACAGCAATTTTCTACCACTAACATCTTAGGAAGATATTGGGCAGCAAGAGGAACAAATGAATCCTAGGGTAGCAGCTCTCCTTCTACACCTTCTGATTGGACTTGAACCACAGTGACCTGTGAATCCACAGTTTTCAATAGCCTAGAATATACTCATGTATCATGACCATTTTAAGCTTCCAATTTCCTACATACAAAGTAATGAAGTTATAATTATTGAAACTGAGTAAAGAGATTGCTCAGTGAAACACAAAAGAAAACTAAGAACATAAACATTAAAAAATATGAAAGCAATCAACAAACACCTTTTAATATTAACTGCAATATTCATGTTTTCTACTCTCTAAACAAAAGATGCAGGTTTGTTGAATGGATTAGGAAACAGAATCCATCTTTCTGATATATGTAGAGAAAGAAATATGAAGGGACAATGCCAGCATGCAAAACACTGTGAGTCTATGATATCTATGGGTATGTGATGACAGCATTACTCTGTTATGATGTGAAAGATTGTCCATAATTTCTGTTTAGAGTTGTTTTTGTTGACATTTTAGTTACTATCAATGCAGAATTATGGTGGTATATATACATGTAAAGATAACCCGTCATGATCCACTTAAGAATATAATGTAAGAGGAGAGTTTTGCTGTCAAAGGTCAATTGAAATGATTTGATAAATTGTTCATTGACATGCCTCTGTTCCTGATGTTCAGTATTCTCTGTAAAAAAAAAAAACATGCAACAAAATTATGGATCTTGTCTCTGGGTAGCAGATGGGATTCAGTGGATACTGGCCTTGCCCTTAGCAGAGATACTGCTATGGTAGCAGTATTCTGATAGCCTAAAACATACTGAGATATTATAAGATCCAACTTCATTTTAATATCTTGTCTACCAGAAGTAATCACTTCCAACTTCGAGCCACAGAAAGTACTTCTGTAAACTAGAATCAGACAAATACTATGAGATACAAGTTTCAGAAGTTTCTTATGTCTCAGAGGTAGGGGGCTGGATTGTTATGGACAGGATCAAGCCTTACTTTTTCCTTCCCTGTCATTCTGTTCCATTATTGAGTATATTTCTTGATTTTCAGAGTATATCACTGAGCTGGCAAGTTGACTAGGAGCTCTGGTGCAGGCATCTGCCATATCCCTGGTGAACATCAGATAATGTTGTACACAGGATCTGAGCATGATGGACTGACTACCCAAGCTGGATAAGTACTAGACCAAGAAAGGTAGAGTTATGTTAAGGATTCTGTCTAATATCAGTCTGATGTCCACACCAGATGAAGTTACACATGAAAGGACATGGACTAGTGGAGAAGCATGTGGCCCAGCTGAGACTTCCTGAACACCTGGCCTTGCTGACAGTTCTCAGACAACACACCCTGCTTTGGCCTTGCATGACTTGAGTCTAGTCCTGAATTCAATTTTGAAAAAGCATCTATTAATCAATCAGAGTTCCTGAGTGCCATCTTGGGGTCATTTCTAAATTGATTTTTTCCAAGTCTTACATTCACATAGGCTGACCATATCCAGGCTCCAATCTTTAACAACTTTACTTGTGCTCTATCCATAACCTGATTTAATTTTCTTTTCTTTTTTTGAAAGTAGATATAACATATTCTAATCACAATTTCCCCTCTCACATTTCCTTCCAGATCTTCCTTACCCCCCCACCCATCTTTAACCTCTCTCTCTAGAAAACAAATGGGCAAGGAAAAACTGGATTTTTAAACAGTTAATTAAAAAGCACAACACACACAAAACCATAAACATACACCACCAGAAATGATAATACACAAGCAAAAGACATGTAAGACAAAGAATAGCCAAATCACTACGAGACAAAATAACCTCAAAATCACTACTGAGTTTGTTTTGTGTTGTCCATCTACTGCTGGGCATGGGACCAAGCTCTAAGCATGGTTTATATACCCCACATCAGTGAGACTCCATTGGGGAAAATTAATTTTTTCTTTGCAAGCAGTTGTTATGATAGCATTTTTCTGTGAGGTGTGGTAGATCTTGTTCACTTTATCCTCTCAGTGCTAGGACCCTTACTGGATGGAGCCTGTGTGATGCCTGTGCTGAATTATTGAGAAGACTTGGCAGGCCATGTAGTTTGATTCCAGAAGTTTCCATGCATCAGAGTTTATGTTCATCTAGGACTGGTCCTGCTTAAATAAATGTCATCCAAAATCTCTGGGGAGGTCTGTCGTATCAGGACAGCTTCTTCCCTCAACACTCTCCTGTCACTGTCGCTAGCTCCTATCATTGTTACTTATTTAGGTTTGCTTTTAGAAATTATTATACTATTTTGATGCTATTAAGAATAGAATTGTTTTCCTGATTTCTTGCTAATCATGTGCCGTATTGGTGAATTGGAAAGCTAGTGATTTTTTTATGATGATTTTGTGTTCTAGTATATAGTTGTCAGTGTTTACAGTACCAATCTTTTCATGTATAATCTTTAGGGCCTCTTATGTACACAGACAGAGGACTACTGAGATGCTGCACATCGTTGTTTATGAAAGACTAATCACAATGGCCAGGCTGTAGGATTAGCCCAGGCATAGATACGAAAATAAAGTAAATGTGATTTTGCACAACATGAGAATTATTCAGCTATAGAGAACAAAAGTATGTTGTATTCAGGAATTTGGGAAAAGATGAGGCATAGGATGGTGTATATAGTCAAAGTAAATGATGACCTTGAATGAAAATATTGTTGTGAAACCCATCTCTACGGACAATGAATAGATTTATTTTTACACCAGTAAAAAATAAAAAGTGACCATCATAATGAAAGATTTTGGGAGGTTGTTCAGCAGTGGAATATTTGCTTAGCAGGAACCTGGATTTATTAACCAACACTGTAAAAATTATGTAATCACTAGTAGTATGGGAATAGAACTTTACTATCTATACCTTTGCTCCTGAATTTTTAGCTCAGTGTTCTCAGTAATTAAACAGCAACAAGCAGACCACGGTGGTGTACACCTGTAATCCAAGCACTTTGGTGAAAGAGACAGGCAGAACACTGTGCGTTTGAGGCCAGTCTGGTATATGTAATGAGTTTCAGGGCAGCTAGAGCTATGTGGAGAGATCCTGTAAAAAAATTAAAGCAAAATAATAGCAACAACAACAAAAATATTTTAACAAAATGATGAAGAAGTGTCCCTTGGGGCAGTAGGTAGGGGAGGGGTTTGGAGCTGGCACTGATCCCTGAAGGGCCAATAAGAAAATTATTGTCTTTTCTTTTCAGGTCAATAGTTCTTTCTTTCTTCCTTTCTTTCTTTCTTTCTTTCTTTCTTTCTTTCTTTCTTTCTTTCTTTCTTTCTTTCTTTCTACATTCCAATCAAAGTTCTCCCTGTTACCCCTCCGCCCAGCCCCCTTGCCTCCTCACACAGCTTACCCCCATGTTTAATTATAACATTAAAATTGCCACAAGTGAATATGTTGGGGAAGGTAAAATGCAAAGCAGTTGGTAGGTTCTACTGTATTCGATGGGACAAATCCACTTCACTTTTAAAAATAAAATAAATTATATATAAGCTGATGTGCAGCAATTCATTCTTGAAACTTTTAAAGAAAACTATGAAATGCACGGAGAAGAATATCTGTCAGATGCAGTAAATGTCAACATTCTACAATTCTAGTTTCATTTATTTTGCAATCCATTATTTATCATTCACACCAATGAGACAATTCTGTGCCTTCAACTTTGAGTCACAGATTTCTAGACCATGGGCTAAAGTCAGTTGCTTACAACATAATCTCCTGAATGTCCTTGTAATGCAGAGACTAAGGTTTGAATTGGTATGGCTAGGATCCAGTAGTGCTTTCTTATTTCTGCTCACACCATTGTTTTGAATTTTACCTGATCCTTTAGGCTCTGTAACAGGGCTGATTCCTCAACCAGAAACATTTTATAGAAAGTTCATGTGTCCCTAAGTCCTGGGAACTATAGAACAATGGTATTGAGCAAGGTCTGTATTGTTAGGGGGTTGACCTAGTCCCCTAGTAGGGACCTATGGTAACCTCAGAATACAAGTGCATCATGAACTATTAGGCCTTGAGCCAGGGAAGGAATGTGATTTGTTGGGAAGGGGATGCTAGGTCTAATCTTGTTCTCTGTAGGGTACCCAGACTTTTAGTCATGCCTAGAACCTTCAGTCCTGATGTTGTATGACAAATCCCAGAGTCTAGTACTGAAATGAAAACTTGTCATAGTTTCTCACATCCAGCACTGAATGTTGTTGTTGACACTGGGCTGGAAATCATGTCTTGCTTGCCTTAGTTCATATTCCCATCAAGGCTGACTGCAATCGTACCACTTCCCAGCCACATGCAATTCATGGACCCCCACAGGTACTCTGTTTTTATCCTGATTTTACTTGTTTGCATTGATTGTAATAAACTTCCAATTTCCCAATACTATCTTTTCATTTTGACTTGAATAATAGAAACTGAGATCATGTATAATAGAACTGTCTCAGTTTCCCACATTTTAATTCTAAGGAAAGTTGACTAGGCACTAATAGATTGTTAGAAATAGAGATGACACATGATTGTGTCTATTAAAGAATGAAATTAAGGAAGTCTACAACACTCACACTGTACCATTGCATGGTGTGAGAAGAGATTCAGATGAAAGCTGGGAAACTGTGTCTGTGTGGAGATGGTACTCCTTAGGGTGATGGTGCAGGGTATAACCCTGCTTGCAAACTACAGGGTGACAGGCCATCCACACACTCTCTGGATCCCAGTGAAATACACTCTAAAATAAATTAGGTAGAGTAGAAATACAGGTTGAGAATGAATATTTTATTGTGCATTGGGGAGCAGGGAGAATGGCTATGGTAGGCCAGAGCAGTAAAGGTATACTTGTGCACGATTCTAATCCCAGCCTCCATGGGTAAGATGACTGTTGAAAGGCCTAGGAACATGCTGAAGGGGACAAACTCTTCTCCACAGTGTTCTCTCCATGAGTGACCTTGCAGATGAAAGTGTTTTTAGATTTCCATGCTCCTGCTGTCATGGTCAGGTAGCTGGTAGCCATGTACTTGTTGTCACTTTTGGAAGGCTGAGTGGTCTTCACGCCCTGGGTGATAGGGGTACCATCTGCCTCCCAAGCCACTGTCACATCAGCTGGATAAAAGCCACTGATCATACACACCAGTGTGGCCTGGTTAGTCTTGAGCTCCTCAGAGGAAGGTGGAAACAGGGTGACTGAAGGTGCCGCATTGGGCTGACCTGCACGGTGAAGAAAGAGAAGGTCAGAATCTTGGTCTCCCTATAGCAATCCTGGAGATAATGTGTAAAGTGTCTTGAGTTTAGTGCCTTTGTTGGAACAGACAATAGTACAGAAAATGGGGTACACCTTTATTCCACATACTCCCTGTGTGTCTAAGAATTATGCACCCCACATTTGGGCAACACTTCAATTGAAACATCTCTGCACTATGACCTTCAACACAGAGTGCTGACCGTCTTTTCTGCCCTTGTATCCTTCACTCTGCTTTTTATGTATGTCTGCAGTATCTCTGTCCTACTTTGAAGACCGTTCTGGTGTAAAACCTCTGTTGAGACCTAGGAGTTTATTTTTGCCCAAACTTGTGCCTCATGGGTCCGTGGTTTCTGCTCAGCAAAGCATGTACCTGCTTGAACTGTTTCTCATTCTGCAGAATGAAGTGTGATTCTCTGCTCTGGATGAGGTGTCATTTTCATGCATCAGGACCAGATCTATGAGAACACAGTTGCTCTGTTTTCCCAGCAGTGTCTTAAAGAGACTGAGGAACC